TATATGTATATTGATTCTGAACTAGTCCACTTGCCAAAGTTTGGTAAATGTATAAAATGTATTCTTGCCATAACAGAGCATAGTTACTGTTAACAGTTGAAACTTGAGCAGTGTGGGGCTTAGAGTTGCTGACCCTCCTCCAAAGTCAAAAATCCACATAAAACTTTTGACTGCCCAAAACTTAACTACTGTTGACCAGAAGCCTTATCAATATTGTAAATAGTTGATTGACACATATTTTGTATGTTATATGTACTATATACTGTATTCTTACAATAAAGGAAGCTTAGAGAAATGAAAATGCTATTCAAAATCATAAGGAAGAGAAAACATATTTACTGTTTGCTGTATGGAAGTGGATCATCATAAAAGTCTTCATCCTCATCGTCTTTATATTGAGTAGGCTGATGAGGAAGAAGAGGGAGGGGGTTGGTCTTGCTGTCTTATGGGTAGCAGAGGCAGAATAAAATCCATGTATAAATGAGACCACAAAATTCAAACCTATGTTGTTCAGAGGTCAACTGTATATGTTATAGAACATCGACTTGAGCAGCCATTCGACCCAGTGGGGAACAGGGGCCATCTTTCTATGCATGCAAGATGTCCTGGCTCTTGAGACTTTTGGACTTTGAGAACAGTCAGGGCAGTAATTGTTTTACTCAAACACAATCACTTTTGTAAGTGTGGTAAATGTGCATGCTTTTACATTGTAAACCACTGTGGTAACTTAGTAGAGACTGTGTTGTAATTATTGCTGGCTTGTTGGTGTGCAGCCAGATATTCTTAGAGTTAAAATTATGTGGTGATCTCAAAAGTATTGAACTGCAGATACAATGGATAGAACAACTAAGGGTAAGGAGTAAAGAGAAGACATTTGTAAGAAAATTTTCAAGAAATTTACAAATGTGTTGAAGCAGTGGCCGTGTTACCCGTGACATTTGTAAATATTGGCATGCAGAATCATTCTTCTGCGATGTCAATTTCCTCTTTTAATATGCGCTAAAGCTCATGAAAGCTGTTTCCTGATGGAAGAAAGATCCCTTTATGTGAATGGCTGCTGAGCCTAACAGCACTTTATTCTGTGAAAGGCTGGAATGATGTGCATGAGTCAGGAGCTAACCTTGCAATCTGAGGCTTATTCTAAATGTTGACACACCCTTCAGCTGGAAGTTTAGGAGTTTGGGACCAACCTAGTGGGGAAGAGGGTAAGACTGGGACACCTTGCTGCAAGGCTCTGCTAGAAGATCAGCCTACACATAAGGTAACCTGATAGTACTCAAACTCTTTCAGAGGGAAATTACTACAACCAGTGAACCTTTGAAGCCGTTGTGGTTAGGAAGACAATATGCTTCAGAATCACATAAGAACTTGGGTTTAGTTCTTATCTCTGCTACTTAATTGCTGTGAAAAATTAAACTAAGATTATATCACTCTCTCTGAATGTCCATTTCTCCTTGGTAAAGTGAAACTAATTATAACGACCCCACAGAGGTATTTTGAGGATTTCATGTGATAACATATGTAAAGCAAATAGCAGATCCTGGATGCAGCAGATGTTTGTTACATGAGTGGATGAAGGACAGAACTGAAACCCTATCAAGAATGAAAATGGTTCCTTCTGGGGGAATACAGAACAGACCTAAGGACTTTAGCAATTTAAACACTCACAAAATAGAATAGTGAAGAACTTCCAGTCCTGAGGTCAAAATGTTTGGGTTTGGATTCTGCCTCCACCTTTTACTGGTTGTATAACCTTAGGCACATTGCTTGACTTCTTAATCTCAGTTTCCTCATCTTTACGTAGGTATGCTAATATGTATGTCTATTCTGTGGGATTGCAGCAGAAATTAAATTGAGATAATGAATGTAACATAATAAGCACTCAGTTATTATCCATGCTTATGCGCTAATTCACAGTATGGCCAGAAAAAAATGGTTCAGTGCTACTTTGTACCCAGAGAACATGATTTGGTATCATATTGAAATATCTAACCCTAAAATTTTCTTTGGATTGTACTTGGGTTTTTATACCGAGGCCTTTTATGAATTCCAATTTGTCATTGTTTTATGTTTATATTGTCTACTCTTTGAAATTTATATTACATTTGAAATTTACATTTAAATTTATATACAAATTTAAATTTACATTAGAAAACTAATTTATGTAGATTAAAGATTTGAAACAAAAGTGAAAATTGATTCTATGGTGAATCATTATCTTTTCTTTGTCCAATGAATAGGAAACTAGAAATACTAATTCTGGGGCAATAACATGTTTTAAATAAGCACCACGGTAATTCACTTAATATTCCATATAAAGTAAAATGTCACCAGATGGGATAATAGGTCCACACAATGTTGAATGGGTCTTCAGTCCCACAATTTGCTTTATTAAAATTTTAGCTAAATTGACAGGTATAAAAGTTAGAAAAGGGGAGCTAAATTTGGGACATCAAAAAACTATGACTTTTTTGATTTGTGAAATAAAGGAATTGTAGAAAGAAGAAATAACAGAGTGGGTCCGAACAATAGCAGTTTTAATTTTTATTTTCACGTTTGAGCAGTGCCAAATGCTAGTAGAAACTAAAATGAGTGACACTTAGGGAAAGAAAAAACTTCCCCCTTGAATCTCTTCAAAATCTATAATAATAATATAATAATATAAAGTGCATCTGGGCATTGCCTTCTGCTGCAGTTCTTGTCTGGCTCTTATCCAAAACTGTCAGGCTACTCTGAGTGCTGATGATTCATATCCCAGCACCCTTTTATCCGAACATTGCAGTATCTTTTCTTTGTACTTTGGCAGTGATGTTACCTTGATGTTCAAAAATCTTTTAAAAGCAACACAGGCTTTCCTTGCATCTTGACAAATCGTTGTCTGCCAGTAATGAAGAAAAAGTAAACTGGCGATCATTGTAAATATAAATACCTCCAAGTGTTTTTTTGTTTTTAAAAATTGGTTATGTGTTTTGGGATCCTCTCACGGAAAAGTGAATATTCTGATAATCTTTCCTTACTTCTCTTGTATAAATCAGCATGCTGCTTTTCAGAACCATGGGTTAATGGAGTTTCTATGGATCATTTGGTATTAATGGACAGAATTTAAGATTTTTATATGATTTCCTTTCTTCTCAAATTTTTAAAAGGTGAAACATAAGTATTTTTATATTCATGGAATGTTCTTACTGCTATTCTTTTAAAATTAATATTTTGTTATTTATTTATTTTAATATATCTTACTGTGTCCTGATGACAGTAACAGTGCTTTGCATTACCAGGGTGCTTTTCATACATTTCCTCATCCAAAGCTTGCAGCGTCCATTTGAGGCTAGCAAGGCAGGTTGTCATTATGATTCCAACTTACCTATGAGGAAACTGAGGCTCAGGATGATTTATGACTCTCTCACTCCAGCAACAGCAGATCCAGTCCTTAAGTCTATATCTACGTAGCCACAATGAGTGGCACTTCCACTTTTTTCCAGTATTGTCTCTCAGGAGGGAATCTCAGGTTTGTCAATGAATATTTAGCATCCAGAGAAGAAGGTAGTGTATTTGTACCAGGGTGAACATGGGTCACAAGCTGTTAGAGGTCTTTGTTATACTTGCGTGCTGCATTAGAAGAAGAACACAGTGGGAAACTGGAGGATGTTAAGGGGGTGGGGTGGTCAAGAGGCTAGAATGATGAGAGGCCTGGGAACTATACTAGAAATAATCAAAGGAATCGGGATTTTCATGTCTGGAGACTAGAGGATACAGAGAAACATAGCTGACATCTCCGAATGTTTTATGGACTACCTTGTAGAAGAGGAATTGGATTTGCTCTTCATAATTCCGGGCAGCAGAAGTAGGATCACTGGGTAGAAATTACACAGAAGCAGATTTATGCTCAATGTAGGAAGAAACTTTCTAACATTTAGAGATGCCCAAAAATGGAATAGACTGGCTCACCGTCACCAGGAAGTGTTCGCACTGAGACTGTCCAACTCGGGGATTATATGACTTTATGAGCACTGTATTTCAGCAGTAACACAGTTTTATGATGAAACTTCTAGGGACTCAGAGAAGAATTTCCTCACTAGCTAAAAACAAAAGGAGTTTTCTAGGCTTTTCATCATGATTCTAGAATGAGAAAATTGTATCCGTAACAATTTCTGTTTCACACCACTGTGGTCTAGGAAATACTGTTCAACTGATGGGGAAGGACATATTAGTTAAAACAGATAAGTAAAACTTTTATGAGATAAAAACTGAAGCAGACAGCGTAGTGTTGGCAGTAGCGTGTGTACACGCATGCGTGTGTGTTCATTCGTAACTATTTCAGGATGAATTTGACATGGTGCATGCCATGTTTTGCTAAAGACACTCACCTGGGTTTCCAGTCTAGGTCTAGCTCAAGCACTCACTGCTTCATCCTTATGCGTTTTTATTTTCCCTTAACATGGAACTGTTGTCCTAGAATTTCCTTTCTAACTTAAATTTTACGATTCTGATTCTCCCAAATTCTCCACTTTCACATAGAAAGTTGAACATGGCCTCAATTATAACAAAAGCAATTCCTTCATTTATTTGTTCTTTACTTTACTCATTCATTTATTCAAAATCATGTATTAAGTGAAACTATTATAGAAATACAAAAAGTTTATTTCAATATATATGATTTTAAGAATGAAAGAAAAAAATGGATGACTGCAAATTAATACTTCCATACGCTGCCTCATTTTGAAAGAGTGATATTTAACATAATGCTTAAAGTGAAAGTGAAGCACTTCATTTATAGGGTATTTTCAAACAGATATAATAGACTCTGTAAAATGGCTTATTGCTTCAATTTGGAAATGCAACATTTCAAACCTTGCCCCAGATCATAATGGCATTCAGTAAGAACTTATTATATACTGCATCCTTCAGCCTCAGAAAGATGGAAGTGTTTAACCACTGATTCCAAGCAGGAAGCCCTTCCTCTATGAGTTATCACATCTTTTTTCTTCTTTTCCCAACAGATTCCAGAGGGGTGACTACCACATCGATGTGTGTATCAACGACTACCTGGATGTTTTCTGCCCTCACTATGAGGACTCCGTCCCAGAAGATAAGACTGAGCGCTATGTCCTCTACATGGTGAACTTTGATGGCTACAGTGCCTGCGACCACACGTCCAAAGGGTTCAAGAGATGGGAATGTAACCGGCCTCACTCTCCAAATGGACCGCTGAAGTTCTCTGAAAAATTCCAGCTCTTCACTCCCTTTTCGCTAGGATTTGAATTCAGGCCAGGCCGAGAGTATTTCTACATCTGTGAGTATATAGAGATTTATCGTGTTGTAGGACAGCTGCGGGAACCCAGACTCATTTTTTTTTACCCATGTTTCAGAGAATTGCAGAGAGCTGGACTCTGCATTACAGATGTCTCCTTGTAAATGCATATATCAGGATCCCTAGATACATTAGCTGGGAATTGAGAGCACAAATTAGATTAAAGACATAGCGCCTCTCCCCCTATGAAATTGCATGTCAGCCTGTTCAGTGAACCACTGCTGACTTGTATTTCTTTTAAATGAAAATTGCCAGGACTTCTCCAAAGCTCAGGAAAAGAAAAAAAAAAAAAAAAAACTCCTGAAAAAAAAAAAAAATAAAGGAAATAATTAAATTTACATAGCTTGGAGTCATTGGATTTCTTATTCAGGTGTCAGCAATATCCTTTCAATCATCCACATTTTCAGTGGAGAAAGCCCAAACTCCTGCAAATGTCAGCATGCTGATGATAAATACTCTCTTTGCACCAAGAAGAAAAGACAATTATTAAGAGCAGCTGTGTCTTTAAACAGGAAAGAGTGTGAAGAAGTATCTAGAAGGAGTTCCCAGGGAACTGGCATGAGTGAGTTTCCCACCTGTGAGCACTGAGTGACTGTCCTGAGAGAGCCCTATAACTTTCTCAGCAGACCTCGGTATAAATCACAATGCCATGGCCTTGTTTCTTCTCCATTACCTCCATTACATATACCATCATTTCTTCAGGCAGCATACTATCATATATTGTAGGTAAATGCTTCTCAAACTTCACTGCACATAATTGTCACGTAGGGATCTTGTCGTAATGCACATTCTGACTCAGGGGGTCTGGGGAGGGGCCTGAGATTCTGTAGGTTTAAAGCTCCCAGATGACCCTGAGGCTGGTGGTGCTAGTCTACGGACCACACTTTGAGTAGCAAGGTTACAGGTAATATCTACTTTAGGCAGCTTGCTGTGTATCTGGACTTCCCTTTAACTAGTATCAAATATTTAAACTCTCCGGCCTCTCCTATGTATTTTTGTCAACTGAAGAAGTTAAAATTTATTTGTTCAAAAAATACATTTGTTGAACAGCCAAATCTTGGCTCAGAAATGTCAGGGGATGCAAGATGAAAAGACATTCCCTTAGGAATGTCTTAGGAAGTTACTTTCTCCTGGGGAACAGACATGTAAGTAGGCAATTAAAGTCTAAATAGACAATTGCTGAATGAAGATAAATGCAGGGAGCAGTAGGAACATGGGGAAAGTTGTGCCTCACCCGCTTGGAAGAATCAGGAAGTGCAGCTGCACACAGTGGGTAGAAATCCAAGTAATACCACCCAGTATGCTTAGCATCGACTTTTCACCCTGGCTTGCCAGACAAACAAGAACATTCCTGTTTTTCTGACTCATTTCTTCACTCTGAATGTCCCTACCCATTTGTAACCCACACAGTTTAAGTCTACAGAGGATTTCTAGCTCCTCTTATCCAGAAAACAGGATTTTATAATAAGTTGGACTTCACCATCACAATGACGCTCTCACTTATATTGGAATTGAACTTAAAGAGGAAATTGAACATTACCAGTTTTATTATTTCAGTACATATTTCAGTTGTTAGTCATGAGAAAACATGTAAAAGCCTTGATACTATCTCACATTCGATCCATAAAATAAGAAAAGGAATGTTGAGTCCCACAGATGCAGGAAACACGGGCACACCAGTGAATTCACAGGTTCCCAGGCAGCATGCTCTTGACTTTGGCTAATTTTTTAATTTATGAAAGAATCTCATTCAGCAAACAAGAAAAAGGAAAGAGAAGGACTTCAGCTGTGGGACAGCATCTCATTAATTGCCTAACTGTAAAATACTGTACCAATGTACGAGAAAATTAATGCTCATTTTGAAATTTTCTTATTGGCTTCTTAGATTAAAAAAACAACAACAAAAGCAAAAACCAAAAATGAATAGAATGCACCAAGATGGGAAACATACCTATCAACTAACTGGTTGGTTGCATGTGTTACCAGCTTCCAAGTGGAGGTTTTTCCACATTCTTGGTGACCTTCGGGGAAAACAATTTCAGGATGCACCACTTAAGCCAAGCAAGCAACAGCTTTTTTGAGAGCCAAAGTACACTCTCAGGAGAGACAGACCAGGCAGGCTTAAAAGAGAGCAGGTGCACCGGGAGGAAGTGGTTTTAGATCTTTTGTAGTTTCACTAATTGATGGAAGAAAGATTCAAGGAGTTGGCTTTTACTAAGAATTCAGGTAGTAATTCCTAGAATTGGGTTCCCTATCATTTTCGTACTTTATATGGTTGTCTCAGAACCGTCATGGTGATTTCAAAGGCAGAGAAATGTTAACACTGCAATGCGAATGATATTGTCATTAGCCAAAGTTCATGTAAGGTGACAGATAGCTGACAAGCTAGTTGAAGCTGGTAAGAACAGCTTCAGGGGGGTATCAGCCCCTCTAGTTAGCTTCCACTTGAGGGTTGTTTACTCAACACCTGCACCTAATCTGCAAGCCCCTGCCTCCTGTCTCAGCCCTGTCTCCTAGTCTCCTGCTCTAACACACGACTATTAGAAATTAGAGAATTCATTCAGGTTCATAAGCAAGATGTTATTATTCATATATACCCATAGTGCTTATGCCTGGTTTTTCCTCATTTGTGGTTAAATTCAATATTTCACTAAAAATCATTATGTGTCTTCTATAACATTCATTTAACGGAGTCATTTAACTGTCAAGGGCTCCCGTCAAAGTAATTGTTCCAAAATGCTTCAAAATATGAAGAGCTTTTTACTGTTCAGCTGAGTTTAACTTGAATTACTTTTTTTAATGAAAGGTAAAATAGCACAAAATTAGCAGCAAAGAGATGTTCATTTAGAAGAAGCACAGTGGCCTGGTGTTCAGTTAAATTGAATTTTCAACCCTGTTTTCGACCCACAAAAGCATCCTTCCCCGTCCTTTTAGCAATGAAAGGGTTTCCTCACTTTGACTGCTGAGACGAGGAGCTGCAGAGCTAACACGGATGTCTTACAGACATTTAATGTACTGTGGTCATAATTAAACTAAAGGCTTCTTAGGGGAGAATTGGCCCTCAGTTGAATTTTCCTCTCTCCTAATATGCGTGGAATGAACAAGATGATTGGGAAATGGCTCTTTTCACACTCATTACGTTACAAGGAGCTCTATTGCCAATCTCAGGAACAAGCCTGACTGCCCACCAGTCAATTTTACAAAATGTTCTTGCTAGGACGAGAGTACATTTAGCTCCTCACAGCCTTAAAAATCTCTTTTAACTTTTCCAAGGGAAAAAGAAAAGAAAAAAGAACGCTGTAGCCTTTTGGCCGCCCTACTTTAAGGTACTCGGGGCAGGCTGGAGTGCCAAAATTCAGATACAAACATAGATTTGGGGGAAGGGAAGAGAAGTGCAGTATTTCATAACAGGATAGTCACCTCATTACTTAGAGAATTCTTACAAAGTTCTGCTTTATCCTCCACAAGATTTCTTTTTTTTTCCCTTAATTTCGTCGAGTTATATAAAATTAAGAAAATGCAGTAGTTGAAAATATCTTGTATGAAGTTTCCAATTTACTTTAAAAATAAACCATCCCTTATAATTCTAGGTTCTTTATTTGTCTCAAGCGTAACTCTATCTATGCTACGTTCTCTTTTCCTTGGGAACAGATAGTATGTTAAGTTGTTATAATTGCTGATTATGGCTAAGGCAGAATGGGGCCATTCCTGAATCTGACATACATTGTTTTGTTTTTTGCTTTTTTTTTTTTGGAGGGAGGGGGTGTGAGGAAGGGTGTTCAGTTGCCTTGTGTTTTTGTTGTTTTTGAGACAGAATCTCCCTCTGTCCCTGGGTAGAGTGCAATGGCATCATTGTAGCTCACTGCAACCTCCAACTTCTGGGCTCTAAGCAATCCTCCTGCCTCAGCCTCCTGAGTAGCTGGGACTACAGGCATGCGCCACAACACCCAGCTGATTTTTCTTTTTCTTTTTGGTAGAAACAGAATCTCACTCTTGCTCAGGCTGGTCTCGAACTCCTGAGCTCAAGCAATCCTCCCACCTCAGCCTCCCAGAGTACTAGGATTACAGGTGTGAGCCACTATACCCTACCTGGCAAATACTTTTTAACCTACAGAAGTTATTTTGGTAAGAGATTGACGTACTAAAGTAATACAGAAAGTTGGTTGTGTTTCTGTCAGTGATAGACCTGCAGAACTGCCAGTCAATTGATTAAGGCAATAGTTGTTTATTTAGACTTCCTAAAGGAGATATAGTAATTTTAGAAACTTCAAAAATACTCATTTTAGAAACTTCAGTAATACTCAGTTTAGAAGTGATGCTCATAAATATTAACCTAATGAGAACACATTTGAAAGAAGTTTTGCTGTTATTTTTAAATCAGAAGAGGTAAAGGGAAATTCTTTAAACAGGTTATCTTTGTAAGTCCATAAAGCACTGCTTTGAATATACCCTTTTATAAAATAAGGAAAACTGAGTCCCAAGTTCTTCTCCTGAGAAGAACTAGCTATGATCTTGGATAAATCATTTAATCTCTCTAGAGTTCAAACTCTATTAAAAAATGTGGTTGTCATTGATGCTTTTAGAAATCTCTTGGAGCTTTAATACTCCATCTTATTTTATTTAATGAGAATCTGTAGCATTAGGGTAAAAGATGACATCTGTACAATGGCCCAGCCCAGTACCTTGCTTAGTAGTTGTTCCATAAATGCTAATTAAAGGGAAATTTTTAGGGAAAATGTAGCGTGGTGAAGTGTATTTCAGATTATTGAACTAGTTCTCTCCCTGCCACCCTGTCCAAGCCACCATTATCTGTGGGCTCTACCTGTGCAGCAGGCTCCTGCTTTTCCTGTTCATGTCACTGCTCTGTCAGAGCCCTCCAGCAACTTCCTGTCTCACCAAGACAAAATTCCCAGGTCTCTAAGTTGTCCGGCAAGATCCTCCATTGCTGTACGTCTCCCTGCCACCCTCTGCCCTGTTCTCTCTGCTCAGCCACCCACCCTCCCTCCCGCTCCTCTTACCTGTTCTGGGCACCCTGATGTGTCAGGTACGTTAATGTCCCTCTGCCTTAGGCTCCTCATTGCCCCAGGCATTCATGTCCCTTACTCTACTTTCTTCTCTGGGTCTGCGCTCAAAGATGTCTTTATCCGAGAAACTATTCTGACCTCCCTATATGAAAATATCTTTATCATTCTCTACACTCTTACTCTGCTTCACTTTTCCTCAGGCATTTATTACCCCTGACGTGATAGTTTCACGGCAGGTTATTCACAGCTGTTTCTGCTCTATGCTCTGTATTACATGGCTTGGCACGTGTAGATGTTTAATAAATAAGGGTATCTAGAGTTTACGTAGCGCATACGCTGTCCCAGGCATCATTCTGAGTACCCCACAGTTCTCAAAACGGAACTTTTGTCCCATTTACAGGTGAAGAAACTGAGGCACAGCAAAGTTAGGCAGCTTGGAAAAAGTTTACACAGATAAGTGGCTAATCTGACAGGAAATTAAATAGGGAAGCAACTAAAAGAAGAAAAGGGATAAAGTCTTGGGTCTCATATAATTAAAAAGGAAAATCACATTTTATATATATTCTTTTTAAAAAAAATTAGAAACAAATAGCACTCATTTTGACATCTACTGTTTAGAGAATACTGCATTATAAACTCTTCTAGAAACCCCAAAGCACATACTAGAAGGAAAAATTTTAAGCACATATCTGTGTTTTTAGCTCTCTGAAGAATACTTTTCCATCTCCAGAATATATTTCAACTGTATCTTCCCAGATGGTTGACCCTTTTAACCCAGATAACTTCAGAAGCCAGAAAAGTTGCATTTTCTAAGAAATTCTTCTTAAATTGACTGAATATTCCCCATCCCAACTGAATCATGATGACATACTTGATTAAGGAATTAGTGAGTTTTAATGAGAGACCTGTAATAAAGATGACAAATGTCATTTTCTGAAAATGATACTAAAAAGGCAGAGAATTCTTTTAGCAATTTTTTACATCTAAGTTATAGTTGGGACGTTCTGTTTTACTATGGGCATCATTCTTAAACCTATAGTATATAGCTACTTTAATGCATGTGGTTACTGCTAATTCTCTGCTTTATGTATTTTAATTAAAAGTTTACAGTTTTGTCTTAAGACGTTAGGATATTTTAATAACACACTACACCATTTTTAAAACTGACAAAATAAATAACCTAATTTCCTGAGAGAGATCATATTAAAATGATCAAGATCAGCTTCGGAAATCATTTAATTGTATAATATGGTTATTGACTGACTTTTTAAAGGTATAAGAATATTCAGTAAAACTAGAGAATACTTACGTAAATAAAGTTCTTCACTTGACAATTGGATGTGTTCCAAAAGCTTATTTGCAAGTGAGTTGTTTGCAACTTAAAAGTGTTTATAAAATCATCTAAGTTCTCCATAATATGGAGAAACTACTTAGCTATTATATTGATGAAAAACTGTACATTTCAATGAAAAATTTTAGAAAATGCCATCCAGAAGAGTTGCTCAATAAATGTTTATTGAATGAATAAATGTCATAATGGTAAACTCCATGTAACAAACTATTAAATTTTTTAATTTCTTATATAGTAATGTTTGAGAAAAGCAGATAAATTAGAGGCCACAGATTTTACTGTATCCTCTGTAGTAGTTACCTAGTTTCTTAGTAATGTTTTTTAATCATATGCTAAGACTACATCAAAGGAGAGAGTAGAAGATGTTTTTTAAAGACAAAAAAAAAAAAAAAAAAAGCACAGACTCTGGTTAAATGCAGCCTTGAGCCTGAATTCTCCTCCTATACTCTTAATAGCTATGTAACCTTGGCCAATTCACCTAACCTCCTGGAGCTTCACTTTCTTCATCTGTAAAATGGGTATAATAATCACAGTTCATTATCACAGTATTTCTTATTTCCAAGATTCAATTAATGAAATATTTTTTGAAGAACCAGTTGACTGCTAAAAAGATACCTTCAATCCAAAAAGTTTTTTTCATCCTTTGAAAAGTGAAGGCAACTTGAATAGCCCAGATTGATATTTCAGTTCAGTTAAAAAATAAAATTCATAAATGCATAAAGATTAAATTTTAAGACCATTTCCTATATTCTTAAGGAGCATTATGCTAGGATTATATATGCCTAAGGAAGTCTTCATTCCCCTTGATGTCTGGTTTTTTGGAGGCTTACTTTAGTAATCTACATTAAGAATTATTTTGCTCCTGACAGCTCATACCAATCCACCTTTTTACTGAGTTTTTCTTATTGAAGTACTAGAGTGTCAAAACGACACAATTATCAAAGCAGGTGGTAATCATTTTCACTGTTCATAGTCTTTTACTCTTGCAGGGGAGGTGACCTATAAGTACAATGTACTTCCTTAAAATGAACAACTCAATATTTACTTCGGTAAAATGTGTGTGCATTTTACTTTCGTTATGGAAAAATGTTTTTGATTACTGAAGTCTTATTTTAGTGTTATTTGCTCTAGCATCAACTTCTCTGAGACTTAAAGGGTTTAGAGCTGAAATTTTCGGTAGGTCTGTCGTGAAATACTAGTTCACCTCCTGTAGTTTTTGAGGTATATGGACCAGTGCATGGTAGATCAAGACGTTATTTATTTTAACACAGAAAAGGGTTGGAGAGCAGTATTAGGAAACTGACAAATTTTAGTCAGATAGTAAAAATAGTCAGATATAATTGCAGAGTATATCTTAGTCACTAAAAACTATTGAGGTTTTTTTTTTTGTAGCCAGGTGGGGTTGCTCAAGCCTGTAGTCCCAGCTACTCAGCAGGCTGAGGTGGGAGGATCACTTGAGCCCAGGAGTTCGAAGCTGCAGTGAGCTATGATTGCACCACTGCACTCCAGCCTGACAGATGGAGTGAGACCTCCATCTCTTCAAAATAAACAAATAAAACTATTCAGTTTTTTAAAAGTTTGTTGGTTTTCTTTTTTCTTTTTCTTTCTTTTTTTGTTTTTTTTGACACAGTCTCGCTCTGTCTTCCTAGCTAGAGTGCAATGGCATCATCATAGCTCACGGCAACCTCAAACTTCTGTGCTCAAGCAATCCTCCTGCCTCAGCCTCCCGAGTACTGGGACTATAGGTGTGTGCCACCACACCCAGCTATGTTTTCTAATTTTTGTGGAGACGGGGTCTCACTCTTGCTCAGGCTGGTCTTGAACTCCTGACTTGAAGCGGTCTTCCCACCTCAGCCTCCCAGAGTGCTAGGATTACAGGCACGAACCATGTGCCTGGCTGTTTTTGTTTTATTTTGAAAACAATATGGGACAGTTTTTTTGGTTTTTTTTCACTTGAACACTAGAAATTTTTCTGGTATCATATCAGGTCTCTAACTGAAAATAATTTTTCTATTCCTTTTGTTTACTTTCATAGTTCTTTAATGAACCTACAAGAAGACATCTTCTTATTTAAAGAATGAGTCTAGAGGATTATGTCTGTTTCATTTTGTCCTTAGCTATCTTTTAGGAAAGCATCAATGGATTTCAAGGGTTCTTGAGTGAAGGTTAAATAAACAACATGAAAGGATATTTAGGGACTTGAGGAAAATTTTGTGTGTTAATTGTAATTTTCTCTTAGGAAAATGGTTGTTTGTTGCCGGGTGTTCTGTTCCCCTTCTGAACGAGAATGCCCAGCATCAGCTCAGGTGCTACAAAGCACAGACCTGGACACCTTCCAATAGTGGCTTCACC